CAGGCCTAACTTGTGAGCGCGCGGGCTGCTTTGCACCTCCTGCTCAGACCCTGCCAGGACATCACTTCTTCGTCTGCAGACCTAAAGGAGAACCTCAGCGGCTCGCGGGAAATGTTCAGCGCCTCTTCGTGAACACACTGTCACTTCCCTACTTAGGAAGGATGGGAAGGAATCAAGGGCAGGCGCAGTCATCGTTGACCCTTTTCCAGAACGCTGAACTAAATAAAAAGAATCAAGCGCCTCCACCTGAAAACAGTGGATCCCTGTGGGGCAGACACCTCTCAGGACTCTACTTTGGACCTGGGGCCCTCCAGACTGTCCGGACACCTAGGCCCTTGCTCAGTCTTTGGCATTATCTAGGCATAATTCAGGACAATAGCTGAGGTTTCCGTGGTTGACTGTTTCCGTGGCTGCTGAAGCCTCTAGTGGCCCGATAGATTTCAGAATTAGGAAAGGTATGGCCATTGCTCTCCCAACTGCTAGTCAATTAGTTTCCCCTCTGCTCCCAGAAAAGGACTCCTGGGAAGGTAAATTATTTACACGGATCATTAGCATAAGAGACCTCAACTCTATGGAGCCTCTGTCCTTGAGCAACTAAGTTTTATTGAAGGTGCAATTTACATGCATGAAAAAGGTAAGGACAAAGATTCTGGAGAAGACTCTTGAGAGTTCCTTGGACTGCAAGGAAATCAAACCAGTCAATCCTAAACGAAATCCATCCTGAATATTCATTACAAGGACTGATGCTGAAGCTGAAGCTTCAATACTGTGGCCACCTGATGGGATAGCCTACTCAAGGAAAAGGCCCTGATGCTGGGAAGTATTGAGGGCAGGAGGAGAAGGGGATGACAGAGGATGAGATGGTTGGATGACATCACCGACTCAATGGCAGGAATTTAAGAAAACTCTGGGAGATAGTGAAGGACAGGGAAAGCTGGCATACTGCTGTCCATGGGGTTGCAAAGAGTCAGACGTGACTGAGTAACTGAACAACAACAAGGATTAGATGAGGTATTTTGGATGGAGCACTTATGAACAGGATTGGGGTCACCCGAAGACGAACAATAGCATGTGGTTCCTTTTGCTTCCATTTGTTCTTTTTATTTCATGCTCTCCCTGAGAATGGGTAGAATTTTCTTTCCTGCTCTGTAGCTTCTAGGAGTGGGCATCTATCTTTGGTTTTTTTGGCTTGCAGCTGCATCATTCTAATCTCTGCCTCTCTGATCAGAAAAATATCTCCCTGATTGTCTTTGTCTTTACTTGTATTTTCTTCTTCTTACAACGATGTCAGTCACATTTCATTTGAGGTCACCATAATGACATCATCTTAACTTGATTACATCTGGTAGACACCCTAATTCCAAATAAGGTAACACTTTTAGATCCTGGCCAAAAGGGACCCTGTTCGACACATAAGATTTCACATTGCAATCTCTCAGATTCCTATTTTCCCATGTGTCAAATAGATTCACCCAATTCCAACATCCTCCAAAGTTTTCACTCTTTACGGCATCAACTGGAAGGCCCAAATTTTACTTAAATGTCTTCTAAATAAGTTATGAGTGAGACTCAGTTTCTGGACCATCCCTGGGCAAAATCTGTAGTCACATGTGACCCTGTGAACCAGAAAACAAGTAACGTGCTTCCAAAGCACAATGTTAATACAGACATAGGATAGAAATTACCATTCATAAATGGAGAAAGAGATAAGAAAGGGGTCACAAGTCTTAAACAAATTCAAAACCCACCAAGAGAAATCTCATTAGATTCTGGGGACAGAGAACACTCCTCTGTGAAGGTCATGCTCCATGTCAGCCCTATGCGGGCAGACTCAGCTTTATGAAGCACCAGGGAGGTGAGACTATTTTCTCAGGGGGAGGAGGCCCTTTTGGCCCCGCCCACGCGTGCAGGGCGGTATCTTTGGAGACATTCCTCCGTTACCTGTATGATGCCTGCTCCTTTCAGTCCTAGCTGGAAGCATTTCTGCTAGAATAACCTTCTCAGAACCTCTGTCAGTCTCTTGTGCACTAATACATGCCAGCTCTTAGTCGTGTGTGTACATCACACATCTTCCCTGGATAACAGCATCTCTACTTCTGGCTTAGGCTGAGACAACGGATTGGATCTGGACTCACATGCCTAACCTGGTAAACAAAGGACTGTTCAGCCTCACCATGGGCTTGATTGGTGAGTATAGTATGTGGATATGCTGATTCATTTCAAATCATCTCACATTGGTTCCTTTTTCTTTGACAGTTCATTCTTCAATTTTCATCGCATTGAATGTATTTTACTACAAGAAGCAAGAAGAAATCAGGTGGATCTTTCATAGTTGGGTTGGAAATCTTCTGAACTAAATATCCAAGATGAACTTGGATATTTTGTGTGGCAGTTAATTTTGTGTCACCTTGGCTAGACAGTAGTACTCAGATGCTTGGTGAAATTATCAGATGTTTGTGTGAAGGCATCTTAAAGATAAGATATATACAGTTATATAACCACCCTATTATCAAGATGTAGAATATTTTCATCATCCCAAATGTTCCTTCATGCCTTTTGAAGTCACTCCCTATTCCATAATTACATTATTATTGTTTTAGGGTGAAAGTTTGAGTTCAATGAAAAATGAACATTTGAAGTAAAACAGTAACTTTTAACTTTATTCTTCAGAAAAAATGGTATTTTTAAAGCTAAAGTAAACATATAAATAGTTAAATACTTAAACTGAAATTAACCTTAAGTGTTCTGATTGATGTCTTTTAATCACATATATATATATATACCCATATAACTACTACCTAGAACTAAAGAGAGCAAATTTCCAGCACAATGTAAGATTTCCTTTTGTCTCTTCCCATTCTGTACTATGCCTTATCTCCACAGGCAACTACCCTATGGTCAGGTTTTCCACATTTTAAAATTTATATCAATAATAAATTGATTAACCTAGTGAGTGTGTTTGATTTTTTGGTTTAGCACGAGAGCTGTGAGATTTTGTGAAATTGCTGTCAATAGCTGTACTTCATTTTGGTTTCTAAATTAATGAATATTAATCCATTGTATGAAAATGCTACAAATGCTTTGTCCAGTCTCCGAATGTTCATGGGAACAATCTGTATTTTTGCCATTTATGAATAAAGCTGCCATGAACCATTCTGTATGTGTCTTTCTATGGGCATGCACTCTCGATCCTCTGGTGAGGGAGGTTAAGGAGGACAAACTGCCAGTACACAATAAATGAGTCAGGAGCATGAAATAGTCAATGTAAAGACTATAATAACAATTATGTAATTTTTAAAATCTCTATAGATGGTAATTAGACTTATTGTGGTGATTATTTTGAAATGAACAGAAACATGGAATCACTACACTGGGTAACAGGAAGTACCAGTGTTCTTGGCCAATTGTATGTAAAACAACAAGCACATAGAAAAAGAGATCTGATATGTGGTTATCAAGGCTAGGGCTGGGGATGGGGGAATTGGATGAAGGCAGTCAAAAGGTAACAACTTCCAGGTGTAAGATAAATTAGAACCAAGGATGTGGCATACAATGTAGTAAATATGGTTAATATTGCTGTATCTTATGTATGCAAGTTAGTAGAACAGTAAATCCTAAGAGTTCTCTTCACACAAAAAAATATTTTTCTATCTTTAATTTTGTATTTATATGAGATGATCTGAAAGTGACAGTCACTCAGTCGTGTCCAACTCTTTGTGACCCCATGGACTAGACAGTCCAGGAGTTCTCCAGGCCAGAACACTGGAGTGGGGAGCCTTTCCCTTCTCCAGGAAATCTTCCCAACCCAGGGATTGAACCCAGGTCTCCTGCATTGCAGGTGGATTCTTTACCAGCTGAGCCACAAGGGAAGCCCAAGAATACTGGTGTGAGTAGCCTATCCCTTCTCCAGTGGATCTTCCCAACCCAGGAATTGAACCAGGGTCTCCTGCATTGCAGGTGGATTCTTTACCACCTGAGTTATCTGGGAAGCCCCTATGAGATGATAGATATTCACGAAACTTGTCATCATTTCAAGATACATATAAATTAAATCGTTATGCTCTGTATATGGAATCTAGAAAGATGGTACCAACGATCCCACATACAGGACAGCAAAGGAGACGCAGATGTGAAGAACAGATGTCTGGACTCAGTGGGAGAAGGCGAGGGTGGGACGACTTGAGAGAACAGCACTGAAATATATGCATTACGGCATGTAAAATAGATAACCAGTGCGAGTTTGATGTACGAAGCCAGGCACCCAAAGCCAGTGCTCTATGACAACCTGGAGGGGTAGGGTGGGGAGGGAGGTGGGAGGGGGGCTCAGGATGGAGGGGACACGTGTATACCTATGGCCGATCCATACTGATACATGGCAAAAACCATCACAATATTGTAAGGTAATTATCCTTCAATTAAAATACATAAAATTTTTAAACAAAACAAAATAATTATGCTCTGCACACTTAAAACTTATGCAGTGCTGCATGTCAATTGTATGTGAAAAGAGCTGGAAAAAATAATAACCATAAAATACCCATACATAAGTAGCATATAAATACAAAGAATTCACTATAACTTGTGTACTTCATATTAAGATCTAATGTAACTTTAAAAAAATCTTCTCACTTCCCTAGGCATGTGAAAATACAGATAATTCAAAGACTGGGAAAAACTTCACCTATTCTCTAGAAGTGTTTTAATAAAAATTAATATTTTATGTTACCTTGAAGCCAGTACACACCTAGTCCCACATAAAGTTGTACACGGACATAACAGGTGTTGAACACAATAGCTTATTGTGACACTACCAACAGGAATCATTTATGGATATTGTAAAACATTGAACTTTGATATTTATTAAATGGCACTAATTAACTAGCTTCATTATAAGGCACTTAAATTCGAAGTCATGTTTGCTAACTGCAAAGGAAGTAGATTTCAAACCTCCAAGACTACCACTGGGGTACTCGTGTGAATGTATCATCAGAAAGTCTAACATGTTTTTGCTAATCAGTGTTGCTCTCACCTTGTGGTTTTCTTGTGCTCACGGGCAAGGTAAGTTGAAACAGGTATGAACACTCACCCTTCCTCCTACTTCGTTTCTACTTTCATGTGTGTATTTTTGATAGAATCAACTGGTAGAAATAGTCTGCAGGATGTGGTAACCATAAAGAATACCTTAATGAAAAATGATCACATATTCATCTGAGGGGAAAATAAGATAAATTATCTTCTACATCCTCTGAGTACCACAGTATGCAGAGCCACTGAATCTTGATTTGTGAGGTCATGTGAATATGCTCATGAAAATGTGAACAGAAAATATGTCACAGAAAAGCTAGAGTACAACTAAAAATTGTTTAGGGGATTCTTATTTGTAATACAAGAAATTTGGAGAACAATGTATATCTTCATAATCTTACATGTGGTGTTAATTTTGCAGATTCACACTTCATCAAATACTAAATTTTAAGTATGTTCAGTTGACTGTATTTCAATTATATGTTAGTAAAGCTACTAAAAGTCATTAACATCACTGTTAAATCAATGTTTTAACAAAATTAGCTACAGGTAACAGGCCTATCTCTCTTAACAAAATTCAGAGTATATTCTTTCCTGCTGCAACACCAAAACTTTAAAATTGTTTTCAGAGAGCATTGGAAATTGTGAAATTTTTTTTAAAAAATTTAAATCACTTCTATCTTGAAATTTATAAGTTCTTCATTATGATGCTTTTCTTCTGTTTTTAACTAATCCAGTCCTCTTCTTTCTTTCTTGTGAATATATCTTCTAAAGAGTTTTATGGTATCTCACTAAACACTAGGTGTGACTATAATATGCATTGCTGTGCATTATTGATTTCATAATATGTTGCATGTTTGGTTTTGCATATTATTTAAATCAATTTTTCAATTTTCCTCATAAACAATGTTTACAACACAACAAAGCTTCCTGTCCAGTCCTAAGGGTAACAGTTAAAAGCGCCTTAAGTCCCAGGTCACCTGTAAGAATGGCTCCATTACCAGAGTGCTTGCTGTAGGGCAGACAGATGTGTTACTCAGTTTATCTCTGGTTCTCAGGGATATGGGAGATGGTCTATTAATCAGTTAGAGAAAACATTAAAGGCATATTTCTAAGTAAGAGAGATAGCAGAGGAGAAGGAGTATGCAAGCATGAAAGAGAAATTTGGAACTTTGACAAATCCTTGCCTGATATTCCAGTTGAAAACTACTCTTCTCATTAACAAGTGAACTCTTTCTAAAAGTGGCCGTAGAGATAAATGTTCTGAATATCTGTGAATAGTTATTTTTCATAATAAATAAGTGCTTCACAATTGTAGACTTCTTATAAGAACTACTTCCTCATCCAACAGAAATAGAAAGTCATATCTTTTTCTTAATTGAAACAAAATCACAGAAATAGATTCATCATCTGTTGTTCATGACGCATATGACATATGCTGAAAACTGCAAAATCTAAGGGTAAAGAATAATTATTCCAAATCTCCAACAGTGTTGGAAACATACACTAAAATGTTAACCAAAAGGAATGAGATTAAATTAGTAGTTTATTCCCAATACGGAAGCCACAGTGAAGGGGAAAAAATTCTAACATTACAACACGTTACAGCATTAGAGTATCCTGCATGCAACTGTGCACTTATATTTACCAGTGTACTGTGTATTTTCATGATATTAATTGGCATGCTTTCATTTCACCTTGAATAACTCTTTTCAGGGTTTCTAGTAAGGCAGGTCTAGAGGTATTCAGTTCCCTCAGTATTTGTTGGTCTGGAGAAGTCTTTATCTTCCATTCATTTCAGAATGACAGTATTCTTGATTGGCAGTTTTCTCTTTCAGTACTTGGAATATATCATCTCACTTTCTCCTGGCTTGTTAGGATTCTGCTTTGAAATATGCTTAGAGACATAAGTTTCCAGCTTTTTTGTTTTGTTTTGATGTTTTTGTTTTTTTTTTCTTCATGCTGCCTTTAAGACTTCTCTGTTTTTCTTTAATTTTTGAAGCTTCATTATAGTATGTGTTGTAGATGCATTTTAATGTTGATTTTGTTTAGTCACATATAAACTTCATGAACTTCATATCCAAATCACACCCCTGACTCAATAGTTCACAAGTTATTTCTGTTGATACTGCTCCCTAGATCATATAGGCTTTTTTCATTCTTTTTTTGTTTTTTATTTTTATTGTTGTTGTTTTATTTTCTTTTTATTCTCCTCTGACTGGATAACTTCAACATGTCATCTATCTCACAGATTCTTTCTTCTGCTTGCTTCATTCTGTAGTTGATGCTCTCTAAAGCATTTTCATTTCATCCTTGGATCCTTCAGTACCACAATTTCTGGGGTTATTATATGATTTGTTTATTTTTATTAAACTGCTCATTTTGTTCATTTATTGTTTTCCTGCTTTTGTTTGACTGTATTACTGTATTTTCTTATAGCACATGGAGTTTTTAAAACAGCTGTTTTGAAATCTTCATTGGGTAAATCACAGGTCTCCAATCTTTGGGTGGATATGTGCATGCATGCATGCTAAGTCACTTCAGTTCAGTTCAGTTCAGTGCTCAGTCATGTCCGACTCTTTGCAACCCCATGAGCTGCAGCAGGCCAGGCCTCCCTGTCCAACACCAACTCCCAGAGTTTACTCAAACTCATGTCCATCAAGTCGGTGATGCCATCCAGCCATCTCATCCTCTGTCGTCCCCTTCTCCTCCTGCCCCCAATCCCTCCCAGCATCAGGGTCTTTTCCAATGAATCAACTCTTCACATGAGGTGGCCAAAGTACTGCAGTTTCAGCTTCAGCATTAGTCCTTCCAATGAACACCCAAGACTGATCTCCTTTAGGATGGACTGATTGGATCTCCTTGCAGTCCAAGGGGGACTCAAGAGTCTTCTCCAACACCACAGTTCAAAAGCATCAATTCTTCCGCGCTCAGCTTTCTTTAGCGTAAAACTCTCACATCCATACATGACTACTGGAAAAACCACAGCTTTGACTAGATGTCTCTGCTTTTTAATATGCTCTCTAGGTTGGTCATAACTTCCCTTCCAAGGAACAAGCATCTTTTAATTTCATGACTGCAGTCACCATCTGCAGTGATGTTGGAGCCCCCCAAAATAAAGTCTATCACTGTTTCCATTGTTTCCTCATCTATTTGCCATGAAGTGATGGGACCAGATACCATAGTTTTCTGAATGTTGGGCTTTAAGCCAACTTTTTCACTCTTCTCTTTCACTTTCAAGAGGCTCTTTAGTTCTTCTTAGCTTTCTGCCATAAAGGTGGTGTCATCTGCATATCTGAGGTTATTGATATTTCTCCCGGCAATCTTGATTCCAGCTTGTGCTTCTTCCAATCCAGCGTTTCTCATGATGTACTCTGCATATAAGTTAAATAAGCAGGGTGACAATATACAGCCTTGACGTACTCCTTTCCCCTATTTGGAACCAGTCCATTGTTCCATGTCCAGTTCTAACTGTTGCTTCCTGACCTGCATACAGATTTCTCAGGAGGCAGGTCAGGTAGTCTGGTATTCCCACCTTTCACATAAGGACTTAGCTCCATGCTTGATTTTCTAAGATAGTGTTTACAGGGGCTCTTGGACTGTGGCTGAGAGGGTGAAAGCTGGTTCATGAGCCACTGCAGGCACCACAGTCGGGACAGAGGTCTGTCTGCCTTTACCTCATGCATGTGTGGGCAAGACCCCTTCTGGGTCTCTTGGCATAGGGTGTTGAGTCAGACACCTCCTTCCAAGGCAGGTTTCTCTGTGCATGGATGTCTAATTTCTGTTGTTGGGTTATAAGCAAGAATAATGGATGTCTTATTCTTCTGATTTGAAAATATTTCTCATTTTATCATTTTTCTTGACTTTCTGTGTTGATATCTGTGCATTATATTAAACGTCCACTTTTCCTAGTCTTCACAGACCTGCCTCGGAAGTAGAACCCTTTCATCAATCAGCCTAGCCAGAGATTCTGGGTGCCTCTCTAACCTCTATGCTCATCCAAACCACTGTCTTTGTTTTTAGCACCTTTCAGGGGTCTAGAGTATGCCAACTCCCATTAGTGTCCAATGAGAAGTGAGCTAGAAGCCAGAATAGTTGGTAAACCTGGGAACTGGAGGTTATCATTTCATTCACTCTGCACTGAGCTGGGGAGAGGAGCTGTGCAAATGCATGCATGCTCCTTCAAACCTTGTGCTCTCCAAAACCATGATTCAGCTCTCTGGAGTCCCCAGGTACCGAGCAAACGGCTTCATCAGCTCTCAGGGATGGGTTCGTTAGAAGCCAATTGCTTGGGCAGCAGCTGAAGAAGATGAGGGTCTAGATGTGTGGTGTGACTCTTCCATGAAGAAACTGGGGGCTGCTCATTCCACATGTAGCTGGGAAATGACCTGTGAGAAGTGCTGGCACAGCCATTCATAACTTGCTACTTCATCCTTTGTAATCCTAGGAAACTGGAAATGCTGGACCTCCCAGAGGCAGGCAAGGAGAAGCCAGACCCTGGAATAGCAGCTACATTAGCGTGGATCTCTTTACATATATTAGTCATCTGAAGTTTTTATAAATTTTCTTGTCCTAGAATCCCTAGGACAAGTACCAGGGATTTTTCACTTTTGCAAAATCAAGTGCAATCCCTAGTGCAAGGAGTGTAATTATGCTAGTAAGAGAATATAATTAATAGATGAAACCATTTTAATTTGATTATTAAGATAAAATAATATTTATACTTTTTTTTCATTTCAAGTGAAATCTTGTGATTTTCCAGTAATAAAACATGGAAGGTTATATTATGCATTTAAAGGATACTTTCCAGCAAGTGTAGGTCAACAGTTTTCCTATCGCTGTAAACGGTATTTTGTGACTCCTTCACAAAGTTCCTGGGACTACATGACTTGCACCCTGAAAGGATGGTCTCCAGAAGTGCCCTGCCTCAGTAAGTAAACCTCTTTAAGTTTATGTGTATAAATCTTTCAAAGTGTGAAGAGACACTAGTCCTCACTAGGAAGTGAGTGCAATTAGGTCTTGTATACAACAGGAAGGCTGAGGGACAAATTCTCTAAAAGATCCAAATAGGTCTTCCTTTCATGAGGAGCTCTTCATGGAAATCACCGGAGAACAGAGACCTTACAAGAATATCTGCATCATCTATATGTATTTTAATTATAAAAACTAAAAATAAATGACATGGACTATTCCTTTTCTTTCCTTTTAAACAAAAGTGGTAGTAACTTTCATTTTTATTAAGTTATATGTTATTTTAGAATACTAATGCATTGTCAGGTAAATACTATAAAGTTAATTTTTACTGTGCTCTTTTACCAAATATGTTATTTTTCTATTCTATTGTTTTTATGATCCTTAGGACAATGTACTTTCAATTATTTGGAAAATGGATATTACACAAATTCCCAAGAAAAGTATTTACAAGGTAAAACTGTAAGAGTCCGCTGCCATGATGGTTATAGTCTTCACAATAATCAGAACACAATGACTTGCACAGAGAAGGGATGGTACCCTCCCCCAATATGCGTCCGCGTCGGTGAGTAAACTGGGCTGAGACCCCAGTATGTTCATAAGTTTCTAAGACTCAGCTGTATCATCCACTGCAAAATGTTTAGATCAGCCTCTTATTTTGTCAAAGGTCCTATTTAATTTTATTCTTTAACAAGCGTGTGTGAGTGTACAGATTCCTAGATAAGTGTATAACAAAATAAATGTGCCTATTGATGGACATTAGTCAAGAAAATGAAAAGAACCACAAAGAAGAAACCTGTAATGACAGAGTGAAGTTAGAAAGATGGCAGAATAGGAGTTTTACTGTCTCTGATACAAGCACGGACTTTTGACCGTCACCCACGAATGACAGTATCTTTGTGGGAGGCAAGGAGTCTAGCCGAGAAATTACAGCAAATATTCAAGACCTGGCACATCACAGGGGGTTAGAGGAACAGCCTCACTTTATGTGCATCACCGTCCCCTAAAGTGGTACAGCTTAGTGCCAGAGAGACCCCTCAGCACAGGATGTTACCTGGGCGGGTGGGAATAAGAGCATCTGACCAAGGGTGGCTTCCTCAGCGTACAACACTGATGAGAAGGCGCCCTTCTCTCTCCCCTTGTCCAGGACACTGGGGTCACCTGCATGGCTGAGGGGTGGGGAGAGGCCAGCTGTTACAGCGTCCAGAGCTAGAACTCACTGAGGGACGTGACTCCTCCTGACCACGCTGGAGACACTACCAGGAAGCCCGCCCTCTAGGCGTCGCAGACAGCTTGCTTGTGGGTCCTGCTCACCCATGGCGCAGCCACATATCCACATGCCCCTGCCCCAGGGCCCGCTCCCTGTGTAGGTCCTCACGGTGGTGATCCAAGCCTTTGATCTGAGAGACATCCAGAAGCCAGTCTGACCCCGTGGGACTGTGAGAAAGCACACAAACAGTATTCAGCATTGCCCCAGGGAAGCAGCCAGGAAGCCGTCTGCATAGAGACTGGCTTTGCTAGGTTGAGAGAAGCATATGGGCTTCAAAAATCTCTCCTGAGAGGAACTGAGATCTGTGGCCAGGTGTATCCTTAAAGAGGTCTGGGAAAGCCTCAAAATCCTATCGGTGACAGACTGAACTTCTCACCTCAAGACAAGTCTGTAAATACTAGAGGAAGAGACTGCTGCTTTAAACGCAACACAAACATGAGACTATAAGGAACACAAAAATCAAGGACTATAACACAAACAGAAGAACATAATAATTATACAGTAACTGATATCAAATAATGAAATGATGGATATTCACTAAACTTACTGCTGTAAATATATCATATATATATATATATATATATGATTTGACTTATATATATATATAGATTTGACTTATATATATATAAGTCAAATCATTACGCTGTACGTGATCGGTCACTTCAGTTGTGTCCGACTCTTTGCGACTCCGTGGACTGTAGCCCGCCAGGCTCCTCAGTCCCTGGGATTCTTGAAGCAGGAATACTGGAGTGGGCTGCCATGCCTTTCTTCAAGGGATCTTCCCAATCCAGGGATCAAACCCACATCTCCAGCACTGGCAGGTGGATTCTTTAACGCTATCGCCACGTTTAACACCCCATAACCTGTGTAGTGCATACTAAGATCCACTGTAATTTTAGAAACTTTATCAGTTTTCATAGCCCATGAAAATACAGAGGATTCAACAGGCAGAAAGAACTTCACTACTATCTTGAGATGTTTAATTGAAAATTAGTATTTTATATTACTTCTGGAGCCAGTTCATACCTGGTTCCACATAAAGCTATGGACATACTTGTCAGGTGATGAAAAAAATAACTTACCCTGAAACTACCAACAGAAAACATTTAGGGATAGTGTAAGACATTGAACTTTGATATTTACTAAATGACACATTAACCAGCTTCACTGTAATACACTTAATTTCGGAGTCACATTTGGGAACTGCAAATGAGGCAGATTTTAAACCTCAAATGGTGCAACTGGAATATTTGTGTGACTGTACCATCAAGAAAATCTAGCATGCTGTTACTAATCAATGTCCTTCTCACCTTGTGGATTTCCACTGCTTAAGGACAGGGTAAGATGAAATTAATTCAAACACTCAGCCTTCCTCCTAAATATAATTTTATCTACTTTCATGTGCATATATTTTTGATTGACTCTCCTGGTAGAAAGAAATAGGCTGCAAGGTGAGATACCTATAAATAATACCTTAATGAAAAAAATTAACATGTTCACCTAAGGGGGAAATAAAATGAATTGTTTTCTATGTTCTGAGTACCACAGTATGAAAGGCCACTGAATATTGCTTATGAGGTCATGTGAATATGCTCATGAAAATGTGAATAGAAAATATGTCACAGAAAAGCCAGAGTATGACTTGAACATGTTTGGGGGATTCTTGTTTGTAATTTGAAGGAACTTTGGGAAACAATGGTTGTTTTCATAATCTTGCATAGGGTGATGATTTTGCGGATTCAAACCTCATCAATTCCTATATTTTAAATATGTTCAGTTGACTATATTTCAAAGTCATTAACAATGCTTTCATGCTAATGTTTTAACAAAATTAGCTCTAGGCATATCTCTTTTCATAAAATGTAGAATATATTATTAATTTCCACTGTGATGCCAGTACATGTAAATGCCAGTTCATTTAAAATTGTTTTCAGAGAGCACTGAAAATGTTGAAAATGTAAAAAACTGTTCAAAGGAAAACTCTGGGGCTGCAATCCTGACACTGTCCTAATGATTCCCGAGGGATTCTGTGCACATTTCAGTCTAGGAGCCATGGCTACTGCCTCTGTACCTTACATCCCCTCAATCTCACTGAGGAATTATACATATCACTCACTTCAATGTCCTCAAGCATTTGCCCAAAATATCATTAAAGAGTAGTTTTGTAAATTATACATTTATTTTTCTGTTATTTTGTCAGATTTTCTCTTTGGATCTTTTGGTCATCTTCTTCCTTCACCTGTGTTATTCTGCAATGTGTGTTAATTTCACTTTTTTAAATTAATGAATTGGCAACAAAGTCATGAGACAGACTCCTTTACTCAGTATATCACATTTTGTATCTATTATGGTACTTATATATAATTTTTATATTAATGCATTTAATTAACTTTTGCATGTTCAAATCATTCTTTTTCTTAATTGCTTTGGTTCCATGTGAAATCACTTTTAATTTTGGCAATTTTTTTGTGTGTTGACGCTGGATGTACAACAAAATTAAACCTTCCTATTCATATCAGTAAACGTATTCAGAGTCCAATTATTCATAGAAGTTGCAGTGTTTCCATTGTCACCGAGTTTTTTCCAAAAAATGTCCTTTATCCTTCCTACAATGTCGCTTCTAATATCTTACAATATATAGCACTTCTTCTAAGATGATGAAATCTCAGTGTGCTTTCCTTTAATTACTCATGATTGGTTAGCGAGCACAGAGAAGTCTCTTTCATATATTGGTACTTTTGGTTTCAAGTTCTTGCTTATGTGGGCAGCTGGACACACATCAGAATGGTGATATTAGGACACATGTGTGCACTTCTCTGTGATATCATGAAAGCTCCTGTAAAATCATTTATTACTTCCAGTTAAACTATCAAATATGACAAGCAGTACATAAGTTAAATTTCAGAGTTAGTGAAACATAAAATCTTTCTTTAATTTATTCCTAGGACTTCCCTGTGGACTTCCACCTTCAATTCAGAATGGTGTTGTACGTCACAAGAAAGACAGTTATCAATACGGAGAAAAAGTCACATACACCTGTAACGAAGGATTTAGGATTTATGGATTTGCATCTATAAGATGTTTAGGAGGAAAATGGTCCCGTACACCAAAATGCATAAGTATAGTGCATTTCATTTTATTCAAATGCTGACAAATATCTTTAATTAAGAGCATAAATGGTACAAATATGAAATTAAGCAGTAATTCTAGAACTTTACAAGGCATCTTGTCAAAGTTCTGAATTCTAGTAGAGAATTAACAATCCTAGTAATAACAAAAGTTTGAAAACAGCTAAATTATCTCATTTTCACATCAACTTGGGTGCAGTTTGAACATCCTCTGATAAACATTCTCAGATTTCTGGTCTTTGTTCCACATGACTGTATCACAGTTGACCTCTGCTCATCAGTCTTATCACTACACAATTTACTGTTAATTTATCAATCATTTCTTTATAATATATAATTTCTAAGACATGCGACATAATTCAAGGTAACAGATTTCGATAGAAGAAACAGAAACACATTTATAATGTAGGTGGCCTGCAATGGGGAAAAAGAATTTAAACATGAGAAGTATGCTCTCAAGCATCACATGCAGCCCTATCTCTTTGAATATCACCATTCCCATGTTGTACTTCTGATGAATATAGAGACACTCAATGTGACAAGGTCAAGATGTCTGACATTTGTTTTAAGTTATAAGAGAAATTTGTACAATATTCATTGGTTTGATATGTACCTATCTATTTTTCTGGAATATAATCAATGGTCACTATGTATTTTTAAAGATGGACTAAACTAACATATATTCCTTTTTTTTCAGGCACAGATTGTTTTAACTTGCCCAGCTTTGATGATGCTGTATTCATAGGCCAGAAGAAGAAATCATATAGATCAGGAGAACAAGTGGCTTTTAAATGTCGACCATATTATCAGCTGAATGGATCCAACACTATACAGTGTGTTAAGAGCAAATGGATAGGAAGGCCAGTGTGCAAAGGTACTTTGGTAAAATTTTTAAATTTTATTATTAAAGTATCATAAGTAATATAATATTCACCATCATTAAATGGTCATAGATTATTCGTTGTTCTTATTGTTGTTCAGTCGATAAGTTGTGTCTGACTCTTGAAACTCCATGGACTACAGCACACCAGGCTTCCCTGTCCTTCACTATCTCCCAGAGTTTGCTCAGACTCACGGCCACTGAGTCCATCTCATCCTCTGTCACCCCCTTCTCCTGCCTTCAGTACTCTTTCCAGCATCAGGGTCTTTTCCAGTGAGTTGGCCCTTCGCATCAGGTGGCCAAAGTATTAGAGGTTCAGCTTCAGCATCAGTCCTTCCAGTGAATATTCAGGGTTGATTTCCTTTACAGTTGACTGGTTTGATCTCCTTGCCGTCCAAGGGACTCTCAACAGCACCACAGCTTGAAACCATCAATTCTTCAGCACTTGGCCTTCTTTATGATGTAGCTCACCCATCCATACATGACTACTGGAAAAAAACATAGCTTTGACTATACTGCCCTCTGTAGGCAAAATGATGTCTCTACTTTTTAATACGCTGTCTAGGTGTGATACAGCTTTCCTCCCAAGGAGCAAGCGTCTGTTAATTTCATGGCTGCACTCACCATCCACATTGATTTTGGAGCCCAAGGAAATAAAATCAGTCACTTCTTCCACTTTTTCCCCTTCTATTTGCCATGAAGGGATGGGACTGGATGCCACAATCTTAGTTTTTTGAACACTGAGTTTCAAGCCAGCTTTTTCACTCTTCTCTTTCACTCTCGAGACTCTTTAGTTCCTCTTTACCCTCAGCCCTTAGAGTGGTATCATCTGCATATCTGAGGTTGTTGATATTATTCCCATAAATCTTGATTCCAGCTTGTGATTCAGCCAGCCTAGCATTTCACATGATGTACTCTGTACAGAAGTTAAACAAGCAGGGTGACGATATACAGCCTTGTCGTACACCCTTCCCAATTCTGAACCAGACAATTGTTCCATGTCAAGTTCTAACTGTTGCTCCTTGACCCGCATACAGGTCAAAAAAGTTTGTCTCAACATAAAAAAGAGATGGGACTGTGTTCTCAGCATAATAATTCTAAAAGCACATCCCTGGCACAGCAATCTCAGCATATTCTGGAAAACTCTTAGATACGCAAGCAGAGTCACAGGCTCACTCAGACCTGTTGAATCAAAACCTCCGGGGCTGCAACTCTGACACGGTTTTAAGGAATCCCAAGGGATTCTGGGCACATTTCAGTTTAGGAGTCAAGGCTACAGCCTCTCGTACCTCACACCCCCTGGATCTCACTGAGGGATGACCCATCACTCACTATGGTGCCCTTAAGCATTTTCCAAAACATATCACCAAAGAACAGTTTTGTTTCCCAGATATGTTTGGATCTTTTAATTAATCATCTTCCTTCAACAACGGTATTCTTCAAAGTGTGCTAATTCTTGATCAAGTTTCTAGAGATGTATCTACTGTGTTTATTTTTCTAGGTGTCTTAAGTTACAGTTAATAAACAGAATGGCTGTAAACCAAATCCTGATGATTTAAATCAAATCCGTATGATCTTATTATTATGACTTTCTTATGGCTTATAAATTCATTGTGAATTTAGATAACACTGATTTTACTAAACTCAGAAAGAGTTGTCCAGAAAAGCTCTCCTTTTCACTGGCCTGAAATCATGTATCAACCTGCTAGTGAAGGCTGAGGCAGAGATTTAAGGTTAAAAAGCTTAATTTGCACTGAAAAATATTGCTTTATCTCCTTTTCCTTAATCTTATATGTAAACTTATTGAATTTAGCAGTCTTTCATGACAGATTACCTATTGAATTTAAGTAACCATGGAATATATTTGACATTCACTCATTGGCTTATTGTTCATTAGGATCATTATATTAGAAATACTTTTTTCTTTTTTTCAGATGTTTCCTGTGTAAATCCACCCAGAGTTGAAAATGCAGTTACACGAAATGACAGACCTAGGTATCTAAACGGTGAGAGAGTACGTTATGAATGCATCGGGACTTATGACATTTTAGGGGATGTAGATGTGACATGTTTAAATGGAACTTGGACAAAACCACCTCAGTGCAAAGGTAGAGTATCTTGTCTACCCACTCCTTGATTTAAGAGAAAGTATTAGGAATAAAACATGCTGATATAAATAGATATTGAAGAAGTTCTTAGGGAATAAGTTTTTGATGAAAAGAAAATGATGGTGCTTAACATCTAGTTCTTTTGTGGAATTAATAAATATCTCACATATATATTTTATGAAATTGTTGACCAGATTTGAATGGTTGGAATCATGGAACATTTCCTGTCTTAAATATTAAGACAGTTATTTCTTGAAGAATAAATGTGTTAAAGATACCATCAGTACATTTGACAGCCTAAGGAATTTCACTTTGAGACATGGAATAGGCAACTGGGGCCTGCTAACAGAATGTGGCGTCTTTTGGGCATCTTCACATATGGGTGATATTTAAAGGTATGAATGAGTTGAACTCATTCAGGGAATTAGTGTACACATAAAAAAAAGTGTCTGAAACTTGGTCTTGGGATGCTTCAGTGTTTAGAGTTCAGAAAAGAAGGGAATCTAAACAAGAAATTGTTGTTCAGTCCCTAAGTCATGTCCGACTCTTTGCGGCCCCATGGACCGCAGTACACCAGGATTCCCTGTCCTTCGCTGTCTCCCAGAGTTTGCTCAGACTCATCTCTGTTGAGTCGGTGATGTCATCCAACCATCTTATCCTCTGTCGCCCCCCTTCTCCTCCTGTCCTCAATCTTTCCCAGCATCAGTGTCTTTTCCAACGAGTCAGCTCTTCCCATCAGGGGGCCAAGGTATGGGAGCTTTAGCTTCAGCATCCATCCTTCCAGTGAATATTCAGGGTTGATTTTCCTTAAGATTGACTTGTTTAATCTCCGTGTTGTCCAAGGGACTCTTAAGAGTCTTCTTCTAGTTTATCAAGTTAATTTTTGCCTGGTGTGAGTTTTTAGCAAATTCTACTTGAATATGTTTCCATGTTTAAAACAGCATACAGCTCAGCATACAGTTTTTGTGTTCACCAGCCATTCTGTCTTTAGACTGAAGTATTCAGATCATTTGCATTTAAAGTAACTACTCTTAGGGACAGTGTCTGCCATTTTACTATTCATTTTGTGTGTGTTTTCTCTGTTTCTCACCTCCATTTCCTTTTCTTCACTGTGGGGTTTTGAACACTATAAAATAATTTAACTGCGATACATCTGCATTGCTTTCGAGTATATGCTTTCTCTGCAGGGCTTTATTAGTAGTTGCTCTAGGTATTAAGGTACACATAGGTAGTTTATCACTCCCTACTGTTGCTGACATTCTATCACCTCAGGTGAAATGTGGAAACCTTACTTCCCTTTAGATTTATTTACCCTCCCCACATTTTTAACATAAATTCTAAGTATTCCCTCAACATACACTGAGCACAATATCAAATGACATAATTTTGCATGACCATGATCTAATAAAATCATTAGGGGAAAGACAGTCTATTATATTTACCCCTGAATTTTTAAAAATCAATTCTATTATTTTTCCTTCCTTCCTAAAGTCTCAATCCCTTTTCTATTTTCCTTTCTATCTTAAGAATTCCCTTAGCAATTCTTTAAGTAGGTCTGCTGGGACAAATTCTGTTTCCCTTTGTCTGGGAATGTCTTTCTTTCTCCCTTTAATCCTATAGGATGGTATCACTGGATATAGAATTTGGGGTTGACAATTTTTTTCTTCCAGGATTGGAAAAATGATGTCAATTTTTCCTGGCTCTATTGTCATGGATGAGAACCCTACTGATGTTTGGATCCTTTTTCCATATAAGTATTGCACAATATCTATCTAGCTGCTTTTGAGGTTTTTTCCTTTGGTTTCCAGCAATTTAGTTTTGATGTATCTTGACATTAATTTCTATGGGTTTATACTGTTTGGAATTCTTCAGATGTTTTAATATATAGATTTGTCCCTTGTGCCCTATTTGGGAAATAGTCTGTCATTATAGTTATTTTTTCATCTCAATCCCCTTTCTTTTTACCTTTGGGGTCTCCAATCTTTTACTATCTTCCTATAGGTGCGTGAAGCTCTGTCCATTGTTTTTTTCAGTCTCTATTCAAAGTTAGTCTGTAGCTAAGCTTATTTCTCCTTCTGTCATCTGCAGTGTATTATTGAGCCTATCTAATGTGTTTTTAAAATTATATTAGTCCATTTTTTTAGTTCTATAAATTCAATTCCATTAAGAAAAACCATTTACCAATTATTTCAAAATCTATGTCATCTCAGTGTTGTCTTCTGTGGATTTTTTTTTTCTTTTGAGGCTTTCTTTGAGGTCCTTGGTATTATGAATGATTTGTATTCTAGACTTTTGGGGTATTATGATTTTTGAGACCCTAGATTTTATTGGAATCTTTATCAGGCCTCTATTACTGCCATGCAGGGTGCAAGTCCGGGATTCCCACCTGGCCTCCACTGACTCAAGGAGAAAGGGCAGAGGGATCTTGCTTCCCAACCATGCGAGTGGAAGTCTGGGCTCCTCACTTGGCCCCTGCTGATCAAGGCAGGGAAAGAGTTAGTCTTAGGTTTCCATTATGGTGTATTTCTGAAGTAAGTCGGTATTATAAAAATCCTTTGTCTTGCTAGCCTGCTCCCTTTCTGGGCTTCCCCAATGTCTCAGCAGTAAAGAATCCGCCTACAATGTAGGAGCTGCAGGAGATGTAGGATTGATCCCTGGAGGAAGATCCCCTGGAGGAGGGAGTGGCAACCCACTCCAGTACTCTTCCCTGGAGAATCCCAAGGACAGAGGAGCCTGGCGGGCTACAGTCCATGGGATCGCAGAGCTGGATATGACTGAAGTGACTTAGCAGGCATACACACACCACTTTCCTGGGTCTCTGATGAAAAAGATCAAGTATTTATTGAGTTTTTTTTTTTTTTTTTGCTTGAACTTGTTATCATTTCTAGGTTATCATGTCAGTGACTTGACCAAGATACACAGAAAGCAAATTAAAACCCAAGACACTGTCTGCAGTGCAATTTCTTGAATCCCAAGGTCTCTAATCAGATTGACATCTTCTCTACATCTTTCATAACCTCCTGTGTTGGTTTTTATAATAAGTCAAGATTTTTAATTAGCAGAAGGAATACTTCACAAATGTAATAAGCATCTCAGCTTGTCCAAGAAAGGAAGTCCACTATTCAAATCTATAATTATTTGAATTTTATTTAAGGAGCCGACAGAGCTAATGTTTCTTTTGTAACAAATTTGAAAATCAATTAAAATGACTAGAGATTCAAGACACTGCAGTATATTGCACATAAGGATGAAAGAAATGTTTTATTTCTCTTCAGTATCCATCTGCCTATATTCACTAAGAAAACATATTTTAATACCAGAACCCTGCACAGAAGACATATTTGTGAATGTATTATGTGTGCTTTCAAGTGGGGTAAAAGTAAAGCATAAAAATGTGCCTTTCCTGTTAAGTGATTGGATTTTCTTCAATAAATCATTTCTGTCATCAGAAGTCACAAGTCTTGATATTACATAGTAGGCTACATTTTTTTCCTTTATTTTAAACTGTAGGGCATGGTAGTTTTTCAATAAATCAAACAACATATTTTTTAGACTCGCAAGGAAAGTGTGGGCCTCCTCTACCAACAGACAATGGAGAAATTACCTCACTCCTCACACCTCTATATCCTCTGAGGTCAGTCGTGGAGTATCAGTGCCAGGCCTACTGTGAACTTTAGGGAAACAGAAACAAGTGTGTGTCAGAATGGAGAGTGATCTGAACCACCAAAGTGCTTAGGCAAATGCTTCAGTCTTCTCATGGATCCTGGGGAAATCCTTGTACTGAGCATGAGGCTTAGCTGTTTATAATAGAGCTTTCATGGATTAACAAACCATTCTGTTGCATGCTTGATTACCAAATATTACTGTGTGTCGAAATAAAGTTTGAAAATTTTCTGGTCAGGAACAATAGCAACAAGAGGTTCCTTAATGAAATTTTTCATAAGGTAATTGACATTGTAAGTCTATGATTATACCATTTAATTATTACATTAAATATAGTACCTCATTCTTACATTTAAAATGATGAAACCTGCATAATAGATTGTCAATGAGTTGGTTTGGGAAAGGTTTTGAGAAGGAATTTTTGGACTAGAGTAGAAGATTCTACTTGAAAGCTTGAAATTCTGTGGAAAATATTTGCTCACTATATAATGTTTTATGTTTATATTTTTATCTTCAGAGGTCTGTGAAATTTCAGAAGAAATGATGAAAAAACATAACATACAGTTAAAATGGACAACTCCAAAAAAACTTTACTCTAAAACACAGGATCATATTGAATTTATATGTAAAAGTGGATATCATCCAGTGACACCAGATCATACATTTCGAACAGTTTGTCAGGAAGGAAAAGTGGTGTATCCTCATTGTGGACAAAACACTAGTTAAATGCAGTTGTATGTACATGTATCGAGAATTTTTCATTATTAATCCAATTCTCAGTTTATTTTATCAAGTATTGTTTAAATCATTTTGATTCATAAATCAGATGTTATGGGGACGATGAAATTATAATCAGGAAGACTAACGAATCACTTCTTTAAAGCACCTCATTAAACTTGGCAAACCAAGTGCTGTGTGTTCTGTTGATAAAATACCTGAGTAAATTAATGCAATCACTTCAGTGCCTCTTCTATCGATCAGTTTCCTAACTTTCTCAAAGATTTCTCCATAACTTCTGAGGTTTTCTGAGACTCTTTCAGAAGAAAAAGGAAAAGAATTCTTGTTGGTATCTTCAAAATAATATCATTTCCAAACGTGTAAACAGCAAACTATATCATACATATGATAGTAACAAGATGTAAGTAGATATTTCTTACTTTTGCTTATCTACCAAAAGATAAATATGCCAAAAAAGTGATGAAATACATGACCATTTACAATATGCATATCTAACACACAATAATTCAAAGAAAGAGGAATTAGAATCCAATTGGGTACATAATGATTATAACATGACAAGTGATTAAAAACATTTGACATCTAGTATAAACACACAT